TGGACAGAAGACAGCAGCTGGAGGCGAGGATGGCCGTCCGTTACGGTACGGGTCAGTCTATCCAGCGTGGGCAGCGCCGTGGTGAAGCCGTCGAGAGAGAGTCGAGTCGACTACACCAAAGATCAGACGATAACTAGGCCCGACTAACTAACTGCCAACTAAATAACTACTGGGCCGTCTAGCGAGGCAGTTCGAGATGGTAGCGACGGGCTCGAAAGGCTGCTGCAATGGACACTAGACGACGGGCGGTTGCGCACTCTGAATGCTGGCTTGCACTGGCACTGGTTGATGCGAGGAGCTGGCCATATCAGAGGCCAACGTTTGGTCTGGCCGGCAGCATCCACTCAGGACCGCTCGATCGATTAAATTATTCGCCAGTAATGAGAGAGATAAATAAAAAAAAGGGCCTTCGGGAATAATTTATATTAGACGAACTACTGTCCGGGGTTAAGAGAAGATCCCAGTCCCAGCCGGCAAGCCGTCACAAGCAAATCAGCGCGCCGCCCGTTACTTATATATAGGGGAGACGGATCTCCCAACCCAAGGGAACGACACGATCGATCGATCGATCAACCAAACACACGGGTCAGTCACCAGATGTTTCGCTGGGGACGAGAGGTCGAAGAACATTCTACGGACCTCGCTGGTCACTTTTAGATGCTCGGGTGGAAGGAAGCAGCAGCTCGCTCGGCGACTTTCGAACTGTCCATATTGGTGCTCAAGACTACAGGCAGACGCCCGTCTCTATCCCCACCAGGAGTTACCCAGTGGGAGGAGCGGGAGGAGCTGCCAGGTGCATTTATCCGTACTTATAACGGCATCGGAGGTCGACCACTGAACCCCATAGTTATGCGTGGAAGAGACTGTTCCCGTCACGATGGAATCCATGGCGAAGCTGAAGAAGCTACTGCAAATCGTTGTGTGATGCAGCAGCGAATCACAAAGCTGCCACTTTCGTCTCCGTCCATTTGGAGGTTACACACGGCCACAAATTCCTACTTATTGCTACTGGCTCCTTTTGACAGACAAATAGCCAGCTGTGATCTCTCGGCCAACAATAAATAAAACGATGCTAACCAGGCCAGGAAGAAAGAGGAGAAGGGAAGAAGAGAAGAGGACAAGAAAATAAAACAGTTGTATAGTTACCGACCAGCTAGCTAGCTGGTTCCGGAACACGCAACACGACCGCCAAACCAACCCGGCTATACCACAAACCGTATAGAATTGCCTTGTCTCGCAGTTGATCCCCCACCAAGGAACTGCAGAGTCTAAAAGTACTTTTTACTGGATGTGCTCCTGAAAATCCTGCTAGAAAAGTTTCCTCTTGGCCTCTGATCTATTGAAAGGCGATCGCCACCTGAGTGCTGCCGTGTTGTGGCTGCCCACGTTGATCTCTAACGGCCGCCAAAACATCATTCTTCCGGACGCCAGGGCCAGGTTAAAATGTCTCCCTGCAGCCAGAAGATGGCGATTGTATGGAGAGAAGGACGGTTAGATATCACCCACATCGGCCACCTGAGACCAGAGGTAAGGACTGTGAGAGGTTACATTTACTCTCCCAGCGCCTCCTCTGACGCTACTCCGTACTCCTCCATATATCTGCACCCCCCTTCTCCTGCGTTTTGACTCGATGCATACTTCCTACAGCTAAGGCCGTGTCTGCAGCCTGGCTAAACCAAGAGGTGTGTCACTTAGCAGTCTGCGCCGCAGATCCACTCGTGTCGTCGTAGCTGTGAACTTTTTCGTGTTAGGGTTCAAGTGACCCCCTTGATGGGTGGTTATACATATATCCATAGTAGCTCCCCCGCCGGCAATCAAAAGCTACTATCGTCTCTCTGTCTCTCTTCTTATATATCCCTCTCTTTATTTCTCTTTTTACCATACCCTAGATAGGGACCGACACTCTTTTTTTTTTTTACATACTAATGCTTCTATTATGCAGCTCCCTCCAGTATCAGTTATCGCCTCCTGGCCTACGCCCAATTATGACAATCCAACAGAGGTTCATGGCTCTGCCATCATAATCATGACAGCCATCTTCATGCCCCTGATGCTGGCTGTCATTGGCATTCGTATATTCACACGCATCCGGATATTGAGGAGCTTTGGCTGGGACGATATATTCATCATTGCCGCTGCTCTTCCCACCCTCGGCTGTGGGATCATCACCACCACTGCAGCCATCACCTTGGGCTGGAACCGCCATATATACGATGTTCCTATCTGGCAGCTTATCCTAGGTCTCCGACTGACGATGCTATTGGAATGCCTCTTTGCTACCGGCTGCACGCTCACCAAGCTCTCGCTGCTCTTCTTTACCCGGAAGATCATGAAAGGCAGCGGAAGCCCGGCGTTGCAGTGGACTGTGGTCATTAACATATGGATTGTTGCTATCGAACTTGTCATCTTCATTCTAGTGGTCGTCTTTACTTGCAGGTATGTCCCCTTACCCCTTACCTAGCCCCCTACCCCAGCCGTGTAGTATTATTCTTGTCCAGGTTATTCTAACATAAGCACTCTAGGCCTGTATCCCTTTATTGGAAGCTATCTATTTTACCCCAGAACTGCATCAACGAGAGCGCACATCTACTTGCTAGTGGTGCAATCAACACTGCAACCGATATCATCGTTATTGTCTTGCCAATTCCCAGTGTTTTGTCTCTCAGCCTGCCCGTCCGGCAACGGATCGTTCTTATCCTACTTTTCGGTGCTGGTTTCGGTGTCTGTATCGCCGGTGGTGTACGTGCATACTACACCTACCGACTGAATATCGCCCACGACAAGACGTGGGAAGCCTATTACCTCTGGATCTCCGGTACCGTCGAGCTTTACGTTGGCGTGGTAAGTAGACCTTCTCACCTTTTTTTGTCATTTGTTAGTCAAGGCCTAGAGCTAACATTTGACAATGTAGATTGGGGCTTCAGTCGCGTCATTACGACCATTCCTCGCACGCTACATCCCATCTATCTTTGGCAACCAGCGTGAGCGCGCATCGTACGCCTTTGCAAGCACAGTGGCACGGCGCTACGGTTTCCGGCGTTCAAACCGTGGCAAGCCAAAGCCCAGGAAAGTAAAGGAGGTCAGCGAGGCTACTACCATTACCATGAACTGCGACTTTGACTTTGACCTCGGGTACCTCCGCACCCAGAAGAGCGAGATGGGTCCGGTAACTACAGCGTCCCGCGACGGGGCCGCAGAAGAATCAAACATCGGCATACCCCCTGCAGAAACGGGCGCAGGGTCTGCGGAGCAATGACGATGTGATGTTTATGTTGTTTTTGGCGTTCTGGGGTTATGGTGCACATATACAACTCCCTTTCAATGGATTAATGTTTAAACCCAAGCAAACCTGGTGTTTTATGCTGCAGAGGAACAACCCACTGACTCGCCGTTGGCTACGGCTCTTGGGCAACTATCACAGCCGAAGCTGCGCTTTCTTGCCTTGCAGTCGAAAATTACCCAAACGAGATATTACGTAATACGACTTTTCTTTTCTTTTCTTCGAAGCCAAAGAAGAAGAAGCAGAAGAATCTTGGGATGCGCCATTCGGCAGTTCGTGTTCATCTTCGTCTGCCTTGCCACTGACTCTGTAACACCGGAGGTCCCTAGCTGGCTGGGGCCGACTAGCAGCTAACTAGCGGCTCAGGCCAGAATGATGCGAGAACCAACCAGCCAACAAGGCCAGCTCTCCAGCGTGCTTCCATCTGCATCGGCCCCAGCTATGAAACTACCAGCCTGACAAGAACAAAAGGCCCGACCACCACTGCTCGGCATCTGGGCTGGCAATTGAAGCGGGTCGGCCATACATACCAGAGAAGAACCTGAAACTTGACGGGCAATACGAGATTCGATCACGCTAATCGCTGCTCATCCATGAGGTGATCGATCGTGTTGACTCGAGGCGCATACGAAGGGTTCTGCATGGCGCAAGGCGAAGGAATCGCTAGCTAACAGAGCCGACTGGGATATGGAAGCAGGAGATGTTGAAGCATCATTGGATAGATGAAGCACTCTCGCTGTGATGTCCGGCTGGCTGTTGAGGCACCTCCGGGTAGTGAGAGAAGAGAGTCGCAGAGGGGCTACTTTACTTTTCAATTGATACCGGATGGATGCAGGAGCTACCACTTGTGCCTTTCATTTTTGCACCAAGACGGATCTCTCTGTCTATATTGACGTTGTAGTTTATTCTTACTCTATATAATTTTTAATAATACTAATTGCTTTTACCGCTTTTATTAATGACTGCTAACTGGTTAAGTTAATAACTAAGTAAGTAGAAGTGACTCACCAAACTAGGATTCTCCATACAAAATAACATTTTTATGCCACTTCGAACTTTTACCCCACTGCACACTTTTTCTTTTTGATATATTTATTCAGCGAAAAGATAGACGAAGATAAAAAGGCCGGCAGGAAGAGGACCGGGATAGAAGATAGACGGCCATGGCGAGCGCTACCAAGGACATCTTCATTGACGAGGATGTCGGCAAGGACGATGACTCCGCGACGGGCAGCGAAACCGCTGCATACAAGACGCTGGTCTACGCGATGCTGCTACACCCCGCCACGGCCGACGCTCCAGTGCAATATATGACCAGGAAGTCCGAGACGGGCCCTGTTGCTGAAGGGGAAGAAGCCTCTGTGCGTCTGCAGTGGAAGCCCGCAACCAAGTCCGCGCTCAAGAAGGCCACCAACCTCGTCGAGCAGCGGAAGAAAAAGGCGCTCAAGGAGAAAGAGCTGGCCATCAGGGAAAAAGAAGAGGCCGATAAGCGAAGACTAGTGCTAGAAGAGGCAAAGAAGGTCATCATAAAGGAAGACGGGTCGTTGCCTAAGCCCGTCAAGATCAGACTGAATGAAAAGGACCCCACGGTTGTCAGGCCTCGAGCCGAAGGAGACGAGCAGCCAGGCACTCGTGTGCGCGTTGTTGGCCGAGTCCATCGTTTACGGGTGCAGAAGGACATGATCTTCCTGACGCTGTCTGATGGCTACGGATTGCTCCAGTGTGTCTTTACCGGGGACCTGACAAAGACGTATGATGCCATGACTCTTACGCTCGAGACCTCTATTGCCATCCATGGAGAGATGCGTGCCGTGCCTGTGAAACAGCATGCTCCCGATAACCGTGAACTCCACGCGGACTTCTTCCAGGTCATTGGGCGTGCTGCCGGTGATAAGGAAGCCATTACCACCCGCGTGGCCGCAGACGCTGATCCCCAGACCCTGCTGGACAACAGGCACCTTGTCTTGCGTGGAGAGACTTCCTCATCTGTCCTCAAGGTCCGCGCAGCTGTCGTACGGGCGTTTCGAAAGACGTTTGAGCAGAAACAGATGCTCGAAGTCACCCCTCCAGCCATGGTGCAGACGCAAGTCGAAGGTGGAAGCACTCTGTTTGAATTCGACTACTATGGCGAGAAGGCCTACCTCACTCAGTCCTCTCAACTCTACTTGGAGACCTGTATCGCCTCACTAGGCGATGTGTTCTGCGTCTGCCCATCTTTCCGTGCCGAAAAGTCTCTCACTCGCCGTCACTTGTCTGAATATACCCATATTGAATCCGAGCTGGACTTCATCACTTTCAATGACCTGCTCGACCATATCGAGGAGATAATATGCAGTGTTATTGATATCTCGATGGCTGATCCTCAGATCGCCGCGTTTGTCAAACAGCTCAACCCTGACTTCCAGCCACCGGCCCGTCCCTTCAGGCGCATGCGGTACTCTGAAGCCATTGAGTGGCTGAACGAACATGGCATCAACAACGAAGAGGACAAGCCACACTCGTTTGGAGATGATATTGCTGAAGCTGCCGAGCGAAAGATGACCGATATCATCAACAAGCCTATCCTACTCACCCACTTCCCAGCCGAGATCAAGGCGTTCTACATGAAGAAGGATGCAGAGGACCCACGTGTCACCGAGTCTGTGGATGTGCTCATGCCCGGTGTTGGCGAGATTGTCGGTGGCAGTATGAGGATGGATGACTGGGACGAGCTCATGGCCGCTTACAAGAAAGAAGGAATGGATCCTGCTCCATATTACTGGTATACCGATCAGAGAAAGTAAGTTTACCCCTGAATTCTTCTGTGGAATAGAGAGACTTTGTGCTAACTATGAGCAGATATGGTACATCTCCTCATGGAGGATACGGTCTTGGTCTCGAGCGATTCCTCGCCTGGATGTGTGGACGATACACTGTCCGAGAATGCTCGTTGTACCCTCGTTTCACTGGCCGATGCACACCATAAGCATAACATCAGTTTAGAATATAAAATAAATAACAAGATAAATGAAGAATGAAATACAGTTAGAGCAAGGGCCAGAGTAGTCATGAAGATGCATTGTACTAGATGTGAACAAAGGAGAAATAAAAGTAATGCAAATGCTGTGGGAAGTGGGTGTCATCAAGATATGCGATCCCAGGGCGGCCTTGCCTTTTCCATAACAAAGTATGACGAGGCAAACTTCGCGCCACAAGGAGGAAAAAAAAAGGCCGTATGCTTTGTGGACAGTAAGGGGCCATCACTGCTGGGCCTTTTCAAAGAACGCGCTGTCTCCATGGATTATTACCGGACCAAGAACTGCGGCCTTGGATTCGATCATGTCGTCCTGTAGTAGAATGAACTTCTCATCCGAGTCTGCTCCGGGCGACGTGATGGGGCTATCATCTGCCGAAACCGCCGTCGTAGCGGGAGAGTGAGTCAATAGTGGCATATCACTGATTTCCGTGCTGCCAATAAGACTTCCACCGTTTCCATATTCCGATGTAGACCGCAGTGGAGTGGCTGGCGTCTGGTTTGTTTGCAGAAACTGAGTAAGGTATTGATATGCAGCAGTGAACTGCACTGGTTTAGATGGGCCCTGGCGTGTGGAAGACATTGTCTCTGGTTCTTGGTGTAGAATGCTCAGCTGCGGCAGGCTGGTAGAAAGAGATATTGTGGTGTTTGGCAACGAGTAGAGCAAGCCAGGGTCTGAAAATGAGCCGGCCTTTACACTCTTTTGGTATGGATATGACCTGGGAATGGGAACCGGGGAGAAAAATGAGGAGGAGAAGGAAGATGTTGCTCGTGAGAAGAAAATAGGCCTGGAAGGAGCTTCTAGAGGTTTTATAGAGTCTTGATTTCGACACCTGGGAGGCGAAACAAGAAGAAAAGAGAAGCAGAATAAGTAAACCTGTGCTTGCAGGGGAGAAGCGAAGAGGATGGAAGAGAAAAGGTTCTATCTGTATCATTTGCTCATATGATGCAAATGGTACGGATAAGATCGGACAAGGTATAGAGAAGGAGAAGAAAGGTGTAGCTTACCGTTGGCTACAGTATAAAATTGAAGAGTCTGGGTTTGATATCATTCTCTCGCACATGGCACTGCAAGGGAGAAAACATTGTTGAAACAAGCAGTTAGTAAAGCAGGTCATTATTGCAGCTCATCCTTTCTTCATCCATGTGTCATGCATTCTCATGCCTGATCTCCCTGGCAAACGGCAAGGGAAAGGAAATGAAGCAAGCCAGAGAAGGCTTGTTCCACGTCAAGCAATGCTGGCCCTGCACCGCCGAGGACAAGGGTGAGGGAGGGAGGGGGATAGGGGGGATAGGAGAGAATAGAGACTCCTTCATCCATACCAGTACTGGCAAAAGCAGGTGGCCATCTGCGCTGCAACACCCCCTCTCTCCCGCCCCGGTTCCCAGCAGCTGGCGTGATCTTCAGTTCAGGGCTCTGAGGAATGATACTCCTTTATTCGCCTTGCCTTGTTCTTTCTATCCCTTCTTCGACATGCGCCGTTTAATCGCGGACCTGTCAGGCCTGGGATGCAGGCAGCGGCCCTGAGCCTGGCCTGGTGCTGGCGAGGAGTAACAACCTGTCTCGTTCCTTTCTCTCGACTGTGTAGAAGAAGAAAAAAAAAGAAGTCGCACACAATCCGTAGAAAATGATATATATGAGAGGGGGAAAAAAAAGAGAGAGCTAGGCCAAAAAAAGGAACCCTTTTTAATCGAGATATAAAAAGGAAATCTTAGCAAAAACGAGGCCCTGGATTTGAATTTAAAAGAAGGCGAACGAGAACCTTGGGAAGATGCAGGCCGGTCAAGGAAGAAAGGAGCTGCATATGCTTCGAGTCGCTGTTGGTGCTGCTGGCGCTGCTGCTGGCGATGACGCTGATATATAGCTGAGGCGGTGAAACAAGGCCTCGCCCAGCGCTGAGTCACCCAAAAAACCAACGGCCTGAACTAGCCTGGACGGTCTTGTCTGCTTGTCTGCTGCTTGTCGAGCATCAAGGACAAGAAAAAGGGGGTCGTGGCCTTTCTCCTGAGGCTCGGATCATAGGGGACCAGACCCGGTGGGACGGGGATAGCCTAAGAGAGGGTCAGGCGCCGTGCCAGCGCCCACAGTTGACATCGTCACATCGGTCTCGTTCGGTCTTTTTTCTGCGGGTTTTGACACAGTGTTCTTGTCGCCTGTTTGTACATCTCCCTCTTGCTTGTTACTCAAGGGTCTCCAGTTGACGTTTGTCTGCCGTTTGAGACGTCAAGGGGCAAGGGAAGCGGAAGAAGCAAAAATTAAGAAAAAAAGAAGAAAAAGAAGCAAAAACAAGAAAAAGGGAAACGAAAAGGAAAGAAAACGACAGCCTGTCGCGTGATGCTGGAGTCCGACTCTATCCGGCCGAAAAAGGAAAAACAGTGAAAAAAAAGGGCTGAAGAGCATAGGAGGTGGAGGAGATCGAGGAGATCAAGGGGCCGTGAAGGTCGACGGCGGAAATGAAGACGATAGATAGAGCCGGAGCCGAAGGTCAAGAAGAAGGTGAAAGAAGATCAAGTAGATTCAACGCCAAACGCTAAGATGCACAAGATAAAAGTACAAAAACCATCATCACAGCGACCAAAAAAAATGACCTGGCGGGACAGCGTAGCCACTGCTTGTTTGTTGGTCGATCCATTATCATCATTGAGCAGTGGATTTGTCCCCAGCCGCCGTAGTTGGCTTGCCATCGCCGTCTCCGGGCTCGAACAGCTGCTGTGGGGGAGCGGCATTAGGCGCGAGAAACCTCTCCGGCACTCCTCTGGCGCCGACCCCTATCGGCCCAACGAAGCACCCAAACGTCCCGCTCCATGCGTACCGATGTGCGAGCACTTGACGAATTTCGCGGTAGGCTAGAGAGTTCGAGTAAGGGAGGCCGGTCGTTGGGTCACGGTAGCGGGCGGTATGGGAAGTGATAGGACAAAACTCGGCCTGGGTTTCTACAGTCGCTTGTTAGTCCCGCTGCTGGTAAAATAAAGTATTCCTCGCACGAAGGGATGCTGGGATATAGATTAAAAAGGATGACGTACTGGGAAGCTTGACAGGCTTTTTCGGATTGTAGAGGACGCCAACGTCACTTCGTTCTGGAGCGGTAGATGCGTCGAAGTTGTCGAGAACAATGCATGTCCGGGATGATCGTTCAAGAACCGGTTTGTCCTTGTCCGGCTTCTCCTCTGCGTTCAACTCTTGCTCCTGAGGCATGGGCACGACTTCTTCTTCCAAAGGCTTGTCGGTAGCCTGACCTTGGTCTCTCTCGTGCTCATTTTTTTCCTTCTCCCCAGGGTTCACAGCCGATTGCGTGCTTTCATTCTCATGGGTCTCCTCGTTTGGCAGCGCAATCGTTTCTGTTATAGGCGCGTCAGGTTTAGGTATAGAAGTTGTGGCTGCATTAGCCATTTCGGCGTCTGGACACGTCGAAGCCTCCTCCATCGAGGCGTATAAATGTATGCCATCCAGAAACGAACTAGGTTCTTTTGGGGCGGGTTGGCCATCCGTAGGCTGTGCGGGTACTGGGTCAATGGCAGTTTTGGGCTCCTCTGTCGCCTTGTTCGCACCCGGCGCTGTAGGTTGTCCCTCACGGCCGGTTTCACTGGCACGGCCCTTCTTTTTACGGCCGCTCTCAGTATCAGCAGCCTGTCGAAAAGTCTTGATACCGGCCATTGCCAGTTTCTCATTAATCCATTTAGCGATTCCACTCCAGAATGTGATAACAGGCCCTTCCAGTCGCCGATTGTGCAGTGCTTCCATCTTCAACCGCCGCTCTTCGCCTCGCTTCTCCTCCATCTCCTCCCAGCGGGTCAGACTGCCAAAGTTCAGTCTCTCGGTCTTTTCGGCTTCAGCGAGACGGTCCGCCTGGGTCATTTGTTTCGGTCTGGCCTTCTCCTTGCGCTTGGCTGTCTCCTCCATCGTAGCAATCAACTGAACCCGCTTCTGTTCACTGCGTTTGAGCCGTGCATGGGTTTGGACTCTGTTCTGCATAGTCTGGCGACGAGAAGATGCGCGCGTGGGCCCGTCATCGGCCGTGGGGAGCCATGAGATGCGCTCTGATTTCTTCCCTCTGGCGTGGAGCCGGGAGTGT